TTACGTAGAAGCGCCTATTATATTTATAGGTTGAATAATGGAACGACATTTCGAAGCAGCTGCTGCTCTTCCTTGCTTCCGTCCTGCGAGCCTAAGCAACGTCCTAGGCGACGCCCTGGATTCGCCACAATTACGAGGGTAACCTTACTAACCGTAATGCAACATTACGGCTAATATTCGTGTATTAGCGCTCAATTCGTAATACGAATCATCGCTCCTAACAAAACAACGTCATAGGCCCTCGCGATGCACGCGCATCACCCGTATAATTATAAACCATCGCTGAATGAGGCAGGATGGGGCAGCGCTGACGCCGAGGCTGGCGGTGACGGTGGAGGTGGCGGTGGCGGTAGCGGTGGAGGAATTATATTGAAAAGAAGATATCGTGGCGAGATGTTGGCGCGAGAAAGAGAGCGTAAAGTCGGCAATAGGGGCGCGTATCTCTCCCTACGCGCGAGAGAGTTTCTATTCCCGGCGCGGTACAGAAATAACGGCTGACATGTCCGTCGACCGCCTTCATCCCGCGCCACCGTTTATCCTTCTTTCTAGTAGCCCCGTCGGCCCTCTCCTATCTATCTTCCTGTCTGTTCGTCAATCCTATTATTCGTGGGGTTTGTCGGGTAGATTGTGTGGACGGAAGGCGCGACGTCCATATATCTCGATTTGGATAAGACAGGTGTCGCACGATGTGCGCTTCGAGGCGCGGTCGTCGGTATGTCAAGATTCGGATAAGACAGGCGAGGTAGGCTGAATTGCGCCTACATTGTTTTGTTGGCTTGTTTAATTTAGAGTTTTAACGTGGTATTGTAAAGAATCTCCTCATTGTGATGGTAATGGTGTGCGAGCGTCCTCGTATTTGTCATCTCACTCATATTCTTCATCATCATCATCGTCATCATTTTCATCATATTCTTCTTCTTCTTCTTCTTCTTCTTCTTCTTATTATTATTATTATTATTATTATTATTATTATTATTATTATTAGGCATTACTAAATTGTAGTTACGGAAAATGGGTCAGAGCGTATGACCTCTTGGAACGAAACATACGGCAGTAATACCTGGATAGAGGCAAATCCCATCGCGTGTGTAATAATTACCAACGATACATTAAAGTTTTTTGACGGACATTCTAGGCGAAATTGTAAATTATTTCGCATAGCCTCGAATTGACAGATGGATTATGACGGGTACATTAGTCATACTTTATATTTAATTGCCCCTGGATTTACAATATTGTAGGATATTTATCATGCGCGCCGTAATTATATTCGTGAGCAAGAGATGCGCGAGCGTCATTTAATTTTTCCCTCCATACGCCTCGAATCTAAAGTGAATGATAAATAATAATAATCATTTAGTGGAATATCAAATTCGATTTTATGCCACGATAATCAAACCAAGGACTCGTAAGAATTTTAAACTAACGTCGTAAGCTTCGTTATAACTCGCTCCACATTTGTCATTAACTATTTAATATTATCTTGCCTTTTTTCGCGACTCCACCCATCTCTCCTCATCATAACGCTCATATAGAGATAGAGAGAGGAAGAGAGAGGAAGAGAGAGAGAGAGAGAGAGAGAGAGAGAGAGAGATGCTCACTCCTTAATTGGTAACCTCTACGAATACATTCTTTCAGTGATTTGAGAAAATTTATAAACCCGCGACCAATCTTCTTTCTTCCATGGGCTTTTCCTTTCAACCATCTTGGATATATTATTATTCAACGCTTCGCCTTCCTTCCACACCCATTGCAAATTTAAAAAATGCGAAATATGCAAATTTCCTATCTTTTATAATAATTGCATATAATATATTTTTTATTCTATATAGTAATTAATTTGATTATTAAAGTAATCAAATCCACCATGACACTTTATTTGCGACTTATTTTCTCATTTTATTAAATTTTATTATTGTTACTATTATTATTATTGTTTTTTTTATTTGTATTGTTAGTGTACTAGTCGATTTAGATTTTAACTTTTTAATATACTCAACAAAGAAACTTATAATCCAGATGTTAAGTTTCACATTTCATTTAACAAGAAATATAATTTTTAATTTGTATTATTATTTCTTTATTTACAAGCTAGACGGACATAATTAACAATGATTGTTGATTGATAAGAATATAAGCACCCATAAAATTAAATATGATACCTTAGAATAAAACTGAAAGCATTAATTTTGTTATCAAATCTAAAGTGTACTTACTCGCAATCGCTCGTAATCGACATTAAATTCTTACCAATATACAATACAATATTCATTAAAAGTGATAAATCTACTAAAATGGCCCTTTATTGTTGACATAAATTATACAGCGGAAATTTCTAATTCGCGAATAAAATAATACGTGAATCAATTTTAGAATAAAATCTCCCTCGTTCCATTATTCAATCGAATACGTAAATAAATGTTCGTTTCCAAATGTACTTTTCAAAACAAGTGAAAATTCTATTCCTACCGATTTCGAATATGTTCAAGCAATTAACAAAATCTTGCACAAACTATTCGACCGATACCCATTAATTAAATTTGTCCTTACAATACGCTTAATTTTATAAATAAAATACTTACGTCAGGATGCTCTTTAACAGGTACATAAACTTTTTCTGTGAGTGTTGTGACTTCGCCCTCTGCCTCCGGGAGAATGAGTGGATCCTTTTTCACGCCATTGATTTGAAAGAGACTCGCTCGGACTTTAGCAATTTCTGAAAGGCAAAGGACAAACGATATTTATATGACGGCAAAACTCAATTATAGCAGGCTACAATAGCACACCTCTCTCTCTCTCTCTCTCTCTCTCTCTCTCTCTCTCTCTCTCTCTCTCTCTCTCTCTCTCTCTTATATCTATAAGCAAGAAATTGCGTTGACAGGATGTGTCTATAATTATCGCATTGTACAATAAATGTTTTATTCACTTTGAAAATTTTACGACGTAGGAGATAATTAAAATTCCCAATGTACCACGATGATTCAAATTTAGCAAAGCAATTTCATAGATGCGTTATATGCATATAGTTTACTTGGGACAATAAAAAAAAGAGCTGCGCGTTTAATTACACGGATTTTAAAAGCGAGCTGGTTTTGCGAGTGGCGAATGGCATTGCGTCTAATGACGCTCTCGCGGTAATTGACGTCACGCTGCCCCGATGTGTCCGCGGTGTGTCACCCCGGGACGTCTGGGTTGGTACCACGGGGTCCCGGCCGTCGAAGGCTCCGTCGTCCCCGGCACCGCGCGCTAAGCAAACGCAACTCCAGCGCATAAATAAATAAAGTGGAGCCTTTCGCAAAAGTGCTGCAAAATGCAATCGCCTCGCCCTAGAGAAGGAGCGCCCGCCCATCATCCTCCCACTATTATGAGCAATCGTCGGCCTTGACACAGTACACGGGAGAATTGCCTAGCTCGCGGCGGCCGCCGCGCCTTAGATGATCGCCCGCGGAAAAACTCGCGATTTATGGTCCGTGAAATTTCATCGCTGGCCGCCCAAGGGAGGAGGTGATGGTGAAGGGTGGGGCTCGGCCCCTCTACCTCCAACGCCCATACCGAATGATTTAATTTTAACGAGAGAGTGACGAATTCCAATCGCCGGTAACCACCCGGGTTAATCTGTCCCAGTGGAGGGCATTAATAGTGGGTGGCTTGTGTCGTTATTATCCAGTAATGAGTTCTGCTAATCTTCGAGGCCCGTGCAAGATGCCAAGTCGAGGTTGTTGTCTTATTTTGTACGAGACGTCGACTTGATTAACATATTCAATTTAGCGATCATCATCGTGTTTACGTACTTAAATTGTTAAAATAATCAAATGAATATTTGATGAGTTTTTTTTTCTTTTTCTTTTTTTTTCTATTAGTATCATATTGGCTTATGTAAAATTATGCGATAAATAAATTAGACGTAGGTGCTCCTTTTGTATGGGAGGGAATTTGTTCGATATTTAACGATGTTATTTCATGTACAGTTACGTCGCTCGCGTAATTGATCGTAGCCTACTAATGGAAAAACTCTTTTATATCGCCATTCAAAGTTTATACGTTCTTAGAATAACCTGAGAAAATCACGTAAAAATTCTAATACGCGTACGTGCGCGTACAGCCAGATACGCAAAAAGCGTAAAAAATCGATTAATTTGCTTTTATAAAAGCATTTTTCAAAGGTTCTTTCAAGAATTACGTACACGCTATCGTAGCTCGTTTTTTTTATCCGTTTCGTACAACACATATTCTCGTCTAACTTTATTTAAATATACGAGAGACGGAGCGATTGAGAGAGACGGAGCGAGAGAGAGAGAGAGAGAGAGAGAGAGAGAGGAGTAAATCTCGATGAAAGAAAGTTTTTTGTTCCTTTATAATGATGGAAATATTGCAATGCTATAACTTTAAAATCGTACTTATACTTATGTCAGTCAGCTTACATCGTGAGTGAATTATATGCTCAAACATAATCGGCTACAGCAGCTCTTTTATTTTATAAGAAATATTAGCCATCATTTTTCTTTTCGTGTTTAAACAAATATATAAATTACAATGTACAGATAATTTTATGATAAGTGTTAGCCAGATTAACAAGATTTCCAAAAATCCTCCTTCCTCTCCTTAAACGATCTCGGCTATATCCGGTTTTTATCCTCGGCTTCTATTGCCATCCAGTACATCTCGACGTAAATAATAATAAAAAATCTTGAAATTTACAGAGAAAAAGTCCTCAGTTATTGGCATTTACACGAGTGTTGGGTAATTGTCCGTGGCCAACGATACTCAAGGGAAAATAGAAAGTACTTTACGTAAATTGTCTTTTCAAGTTTGTTCCGTATGATTGACTTATTGTCAACGAAGAAAATCGCTGGTAAAAGTCAAATTTTTTTCATCTTAATCGATCAACAACGGCTGATTTGAGTCCGATTGATCGCACTCGAATTATCGATCAAAATGAAATACGCCAACCAATACTGTAACATATAATATCTTTCACGTGGCTCCAAGTAGCTTTTAATTTTTTCCCGAATAAGCATACACCATTTATCGTCACAATTACGCTTTCTACTTTATTTTTTTATTCTTTTATTATTCCTCTTACGTATTTACGGTCTAAGAAACGTTTAAGCCTAAGCGTCATAAGACATTTCTCCATTTCTATTATTAAAACCAGCGTTTCAATTAGCCTCTTAGAAACGTAATACTTTCAACTTGAAAGCTCCATTAATAAACGCATAGTTTTGGAATTTTTAACAATACCCATGGTATCCCCCCCCTCTCTCACTCTCACTCACTCTCTCTCTCTCTCTCTCTCTCTCTCTCTCTCTCTCTTTACCTCCCTCACTACATAAACCAACAGACTTTACTATTTAAAAGTAACGTAATGGCTCCTTTCTCCTTCATTTTCCATTGGCGCGCACCGCTTCCGCGGGCCAATACTCGAGAGGATTGCGCAGGGCGCCAAAGAGGGACTTTGCGAAGAGGAAGCGAGAGAGGAGACAAAGCGACGAAAGTACTAGGAACGCCGGTGCACGCACAGTCGGCCGCTTAAACTCTTACAACTACGTAGATTCAAAAGACTTGAACTGGGCGTGGCTTGGGCAGCGCATAATGGAAAGCTCCATATAATTCCTCTAGCTGCAAGTCGCCGTCTTCCTTACTCGCGCATTGCGTACATCGAGCCAAGCCTCCAGTACTTGTTGTACGCATTGCGCCATTCAATAGACAGACCTTCGTTGCTTTTCCATACCGGCAAACGAAATACAGCGAAATACAGAAGACATTTTTTTATCCAGATGGCAAGTGGGGTGGGCGGGGGGAGGCGGGATTAGTTACTACTCCGTTTCAAGACATACGGGGGGAGGGGAGGGGGGGGGATGAAAAAAGTATAAAATAATAATTTATACTAGAGGATCGTGGAAAAGCGAAAACGAGATTTAAAATTTAGAAGAATACGAGGGCATAGGATAGTTTTATCCGAGCGTTCGAGTAACATTGACTCCAAATCCTTTATTATTCAACTTTATGACATTAGCAAAGATTTTCCTCGATACCGGTACTTTGGGAAAAAGTATAAAATAATAATTTATACTAGAGGATCGTGGAAAAGCGAAAACGAGATTTAAAATTTAGAAGAATACGAGGGCATAGGATAGTTTTATCCGAGCGTTCGAGTAACATTGACTCCAAATCCTTTATTATTCAACTTTATGACATTAGCAAAGATTTTCCTCGATACCGGTACTTTGGTGAGAATTGCAGGCACGTTAAGGAATTACGAGGACGCGTTCTCTTTAAAGATTCGATAAGAAAGGAGAAAGTGACAATGTACACGATTATCTATTATTATCCTTTACAACACGTAATATCGTCGTTTTCGAAATAGCCATAGAAACCCGGGGATACGGTCGCCCCGTAATATCCCACATTCTTCCGTCGATATACACGCGTATTAATGGAAACGCACGCTCGTTGGTCGGTCGAATCGACGCGTCAATCATAAATCGCACCCACGGTGTGCCAGCTTTTCACCAAAATGGGCACATTTCACGGGGCGTGTCGGCAATTAGACAAGGCTCTTCGATCCAACGCTCCAAGCACTTTCGTGGCGCTAATGAATCAAAGGGCCGCCGCATTTCCTTCCTACCTTCTCTCTCTCTCTCTCTCTCTCTCTCTCACGTGTTTACGCTCAATCTAGATATAGACTCCGTTAAAGGGAGCAACGCGCCATAAGGTCGATGACAGCTTTACAAGCCATACCAAAATTAACGCACCCCCCCCCCCGCCGCCACCGCCACCTGACCATTATGCAACTATTACTATTTCATCGCGGGAATCAACAGGTGCGCGCGTCTTTTTTTGGATTGCGCCCATGAAATTGGTCCCACGATTAATTGATGATGGCTCGAAGGTGGGGAGGGGGGGGGTGTGTGTAATGGTATATTTGAATATCGTTAGAGGTGCGTGTCGTCGAGGAGCCGCTTAATTATTTCTTCCACTGGCTCGACGAGCTCAATAATTACATTTAATTAAACGCTTTTGTTCATAATACCGGCACTTATCGACTTAATCCTAGGCGCTTATCTACGTTACATAGAGCATTTTTAGCTGCACATCGAGTGCAAACATTGTATTTTTTTAGTCCTAATCACATTGGCTTGCACGAGTTTTTCAATTACTCTTCATTACACTTTACATGCTAATACATAGTCTTGAAGCTATAAAACACTAATTATCAATTCTACCTTGCTTTTTGCAATCATTTTTTAATGTCATGCATTTTTAAATTAATTATTGTTTTTTTTTTCTTCATTGTTTTTTCATTTGCTATGTCTCGCCCGCAGGAGAACGCATAAAAAATTTGAAGAATTTTAACCAAACGGTGCATTTAATTTACAAAAAAATATTACACGTTTGAATTACATAATATACGCATTGGTTACGATTGGTCGATTTCGCATAAATTGCGTTTAAATTCATTTTTATTTTATTTTTTTTTTTTATTTTGTCTAAATACTCAGCCAGCAAAATTGTAGTAATCAGTGCAATAACATTGCTATCTTTATAATAAGACGGTTAAAAGAATATATATATCACAGAGCTCATGTTATGACGTTCGGTAAGATAAACTAATTAAATTCTCGGCAACGTTGTAATTTATAAACGTTTCTTACAGAAACACTTTTCAGAGAAAATTATATTGGCTGGAAAATATTTCATATAAGACATGTAGTC